TCGATTATGCATCGGTGCAATCATTGTCCATTGATTTGTTTTTGGATCAAAATATTCTGCACTATTCATACATTCTTGTCCATTAAATCCACCACAAATATATATTCTATCTGTCTTAAATTTAATAATAAATAATTCTTTAATGAAAAAACAAAAAATACAAACCTTGAAGAACAGTTGCAGATGCATCTTTAAATACGAAACCAAAAAAAATAAAATAAAAAGTTTTTATTTTTTTAAACAATAAACCTGATCGTAGAGCATGCATTGGTGGAATAGGAAGCCATTGATTAGAATTTGGTGAATATCTTTCAGCTGTACTTTGTCGTGAATGACCATCAAAACCTCCCTAAAATTCTCTTTTTTCTTTTTCTCGATAAGATAAACAATAATATTGAAATTTACCATTGCATAAATTAATCCATCAAGTACAGCTACACTCACATAACATCTTTAATAGAAGAAAAATAAATAAATAAATAAATAAATCTAGATTTCATAATCATAAATCAAATCAATTACCGTTTGACATTCATTGGTGCAATTTCATTCCATTGTAATATTTTTAAATCAAAAACTCGACATGAATTAAAATAATCCATTCCATCAAAACCACCAATAACATAAATAGAATTATTAATTGTTACTATTCCATGATATGCACGAGGAACTAGAAAGAAAAAAAAGAAGCAAATCTTTATTTAATAAATAAAATTTACATTGATCATTAAATGGTAATTGAAACCATTTATCAGCACGAGTCTAAATAATTTTAACATTCTATTAAATTATTCGATGTCTATTGGAATAAATCTTACATCATATAATTCGATTGCCGATGTTGGACTTCCACCTGACCATCCACCACATACAAAAAGAATTTCATGTGGAATACGTGGTCTAGCTATTGGATTTTGTATTAATAATTCCTTTAAATACATAATGATATAGTAAAGAAAATTTTTGTCAGTTTAAAAACTAATACAAACTTGATAAGTATCAACATCAAGTTCATATAAATATTTTAATGTATCAATAACTAATGGTTTACAAGCTTCATTATTAATAATATATGGATGACATTTAACTTTTTCAATAAAGAAATTTGTTGTTAATAAACCCAAACGAACACATTTGAGTAAATCGACAATATTCTTATAGAAAAAATATTATTCAATAAATCAACAAAAAACAAAGATTGTACAATCTCAATACTATAGTCTAGTAAAAGAGCGTAGTATTTTCTTTCTTATAGAAATGCATATAGCAGGTCTCTAAATCGGGCCGAAAGAAACTTCGTTTACAAAGATTTTTTTTTCTCAATAGACAGTTATTCCATATTTTTTCGTTTTTATAAAAAGTAATGACCAGCTTTTCTCTATCGTCCCTCAGAGGTAGGCCAAATCTCAGAAGAAATTATGCCGAAAAAAGAATAAAATTGACGAGCCGGGCGATCCGTTTCGAGGTATGACACATAGACGTGTAAGTCTAAGCATTGATCGATGACGGTGGTTGAAATTTTTCAATGACTTTTTATTTCGAAAATGAAAAAGATGGTGGAGAACTTATTAACAAAAAATATCTCCAAAAATTGATTTGGTATGTCGGAAATTTTGCAAAAATTACATATCTATTTTTGTGTCGTGACGGTAACGGCAGGAAGCACACTCAAACTTAATGATGTAAGAAAGTTTTTTTGCTTATTTTTATCCTCTCACTAAAGAAATTTCATCTATTGTCAAGTAAGAAAAATACAAATGAGACATTTCATAGATAGTTTTCAGTTGTCAAATAAAACAAATCATCGCAACTCTACGAGTACCAACTTCCTTGTAAAAACCAGTGTTCGCATGTTTATAACAATCTGACGAAGAAGAAAGTGTCCTTGGAAACGGTGTGAAATAAATTAATAAACAAAAAAAAAGAGAAGAGTAAACACTATTCTCGGACAAAAAAAACAAAAAACTTCTATCAATAACGTGGAGATATTTTATTTTTCAGAAAATACTTAAAACTGAATCAAAAATTCAGTCAAACAGTCATAAATCAGCTGCTTATGAACCCAATATGAATTCAAATGACAGGTACCAATTCGAGTAGTTCCTTCGTTAGTGATATCTCTTCAAAAAGATAAAAGTTTACACTGTATCTATAATTCAAGAAATTCTTTTTTAAATAGAAGAAGCATTTTGAAAATTTTAAATTGTAAATAATAAGTAGAAAAATCTTTGAATTATTTTTTCTCATACTTTTTGTCTTTCATCAACTTTATAATCGATCCATCGTATAACAGCATCAAAAACTGCTTGTTCACTTTTAACATTTAATTCATCAGAATTGAGTATATCAATTATTTGTTCAAGATTTAATTCAAGAAATTCTTCACTTTTTATTGATATATCAGTAAAATTAGTTCTATAGAATTTCTATTTTATTCTTAATTGACACAAAAAAAAAACAAATCAAGAAAATTAATTTACATACAATAAATAAAGTTCAGCTTGTTCACAAAGTTTTTTACAATCTAAAATAAAAATAATTTCTTAAATTCTTATTAATTAAAATCAAATTAACTTACAAAAAAACGATGCAAATTCTCGTATACCTAAGACATTTTCTGAATTAAGTTTTTCATATAAATAATTTTCACATAAAGAAAATAATTCTAATACTTGTAATTGATTAGTAGCTGGTAAAATATCATATATATTATTTTCATTTAATTTTATTTCACGTGTATATATATAATCAATAATTAAATTCATTATATCACCATTAATATCATGAATATCAACAATATGATCTGTTGTTTCATTCATTCCATTTGTAAAAAGTGCTCGAAAAAATGAACTACATGCTTTACAAAAAAAAAAAAACATTTTGTTTTTGAAAATTTAAAATCAAAATTCGTCTTACAACAAAGTATAGCTCGATGAACTTTAAACATATGTTGATCATCAGTACGTAAAATAACATCACAATATTCACCAGAATTTCGTAATTCCGAAAGAACATCACATGTTATTGGACTATACTTTCGAAGTAATGATGATATATTATTAATATTATTTGTTGTATGTAATGACATTAATTATAATATTTTAATATTCAAAAAGTAATACCAGCAACAAATCGAATAGCTGGTTAAGTAGACTTTTTTCGAAACGAATGATATTATTAGACTTTTTTTTTTTTCGCGGTAAGACTTTATTTTTATTCTTCGAAGCAAAAATATATAGTGAACTATAGATATTTAACATCAATGATGAATTAGTTCTCATGAATATTGTATCAATTGTAAACTATCAATGATTTGAGATATGTATATTAACAGATAGGGCAAAAGTTCTATGTTAATTTTATTTTCAGCATAGCAATGACAACAATTAGTCATAGACGTTCGATAGTTTTCTTGTTAGAAAGAGCAACATTTCTACTACACACAAATCTTTCAAATGGTTTTGTGCTTTTCATACGGAGCCTTTTTAGGTTTCGTAACAGAGGAACTTTTTTCTTGGAATGTGTTTCCAAGCTCCTACTATTTTCCCTAGTTTTTTGGCCGGAAACTTATGAATCCGGACGCCAAAATATTGACTTATGACTGTCTACTATTTTATTTTATATAATATGGTTTTGTACAGAACTCTCAAAATTCTATTGAACATAGAATATTGTGTTTCATTAATTTTGACTACTAAAAAAAATCTTATTTTTCGAAGCGATTTACTAGTTGTGAATACTTTTTGCTACTGTTTACAATGTTTTATCCATATCTCTACCAGGCTTGTCGATTAGGGAGATCTCCATAAATTCGGATCTTTTCTGCTGAAAAAGATTCTTCTTTCTTGCTTTCATACAATCTATATATAAATAAAATTTAAGAAGATGAATTTTTCCATATTTATTCTCTACGATGCACGCATACTTATTGATTCGTAGTATCAATGCGCGAATAGTTGAGTCATATTACCGAAAGCTCATGTGTACTCTTTTTGCCTAAAATTTTCTGTCTGCTTTACTGTTCATTGTCGGATTGTGATTTCATTAGTGTCGAATATATGACGTGTAAAAGTAAATTGAACTTATATATGAATTATAAGTTATTTTCAAAAAGTTTCTTGATTGTTATTAACTAATTTCGCTTATTCGTATATCTATTCTAGATTTTTATCTTGTTTAAACTATATGAATAATATCGTTTCTCAGGAACAATTTATTGTATAAATAAAGAAGTTTGCAGTTCATTCTGTTTAAAAACAATACTATTCGAACAATTAGAAAGATTACTGTCAAACAAAAAGATTCTATGATTTTATCAGAAGAAAAGATCAAGAAAGAAATATAAAAAGCTGAAAGAAGCAACAGCCTCATCATCGTTAAGCTTCTCCAAATCATGAGCTGCTAAATCTTGAAGAAATAACGGATGCCTCATAATGAATGATTGCATTTTGTATTTTATTTTCCTATCATCTAATATCTAATTTTATATATGCATTCTCTGTTTTCAAAATGAATGAAATTCTATGCGTTCAATTTTCGACGCTGTGAGAAGTGATCGCATAGAATTTTGCTTGGTTTTAAAAATAAAGGATGCATATATAAAATTAGATACTAGATGATGAGAAAATAAAATACAAAATGCGACCATTCATTATGTGACTTTTTTTGTTTTTTGAAAAATATGATCTTGTTTGTTACTGTTAATAGATTTCTCGATGAATTAAAGTTGTACAAAAAAAAAAAATTAACTTTCTACCAAATTTTTAGCCTTTTCTCCACCCACTCCCACCTTCGAGACTTTGTTCTTTCTAATAAGAAAATTATCAAGCCTCTATGATGAATTGTTGTCATGCTATACTGAAAACAAAAATTATGAAGAAGTTTTTTGTACTATTTGTTAAATTATAAAATATTCTTCTCGATATTCTTCTGAGAGAAGAATCATATTGATTGACAGAAAAAAAAAAGATGATAAGTCAAAAGTCAATGATTAATATTTATTAGGATTTTTTTCGACGAAATATTTTTTTTAATTTGCTACCAAACGATGATTTTCCAGGATCTTCTATGTTAAAAACTTCACGCGAACCTAATTCTAATTTGAACAAAAAATGAAATTAATTTTTTTTTGAAAAACAAAAAAATCAAAAAGAATTTTCTTACTAGGCGTAATAGGAGGTCCATTTGTATTATTAGTATCAGAAATTGGTCGTTGTTGAAGTAATCGAGCATTTGTTTGTGGTGTTGTAGATATTGTTCGAGAATTATTTTGTTGAGCATTTCTTTGTGGTGTAGCGGGTGGTACTCGAAGATTATTTGTTTGAGCATTTCTTTGTGGTGTAGAGGGTGTTGTTCGAAGATTATTTGATCGAATATTTGATGGAGGTTGTGGTTGTCCATCATCATCATCATCACTATCACTATCACTATCAGAATCTGATTCAGTTTCCTCTGTTTCACTTTCTTCACTTTCATCTTGTTTTGCTTGAGTTCGAGCTGTAATATTTGATGGAGTTTTATTTGGTAATGTTGGTCGAGTTATGTCATTACGTTGTGTTGCTGGAGTTCCAGTTGTCATAGCATTTATAGATTGCACAGAAGGTTGTTTTGATGTATTTATTTCCGATTCATCTTCAGATTCTAATGATGATGATTCAGGTGAAGTTTCTAATTTTTTATTTGTTGTTGTTGGTTCTTCTTTCTTTTCATTTGAAATTATCGCCGTTGGTGTAGGTGCTTTTGGAACAATAGCAACAGATGAACCTGAACAATTTTCATATAAACTTTTTATTTTGAATTTTTTTGGAAATGCTTTATTCTCAAAAATAATTTCATTAAAACAATCATTAATCTTTATCAGTAAGTCATGGACTCGAATTTATTTTAAGTTTAATTTAATCTCATCGAGATCTACTCGTAGTTATAATATGAAATGATTTACTCACGCTCTGGTTTATGTTGTTTATTAATTTTGTCCGAAGTTTCTACAGTATCTAAATTAGAAAATTTTTATTGATTTTCTTTTTGTTCTTTGTTTTTTTTTTTCATACGAATAGGAGATACTGCTCGATCATGATATCGTTTTTGGTATCTTCGTCTTCTTTGCATAGATAAATATGGATTATCATTAAATGGATGTTTCGAAGGTTTTTTTGTAGATGAATGAAAATTATTCCGACCAATAATATCATAATGATTTGATGATATTTTTTGACGATATAAATCATTAGTTTGTCTTGTATAATCTTCAATAGACAACAAATCAATTTAAAAAACAAATAAACAAACAAACAAAAAAACCTTGTCGAGAAGTAACTGGTGTTATAAGACCAATATTAGCTAAATTTTGACTATTTTCAATATATTCTATACTTGATACATATGGTCGTGCATTATCCATATAATCTTGTTGAATACGATGAATTAAATTTCCTAGATCAAATGCTTGTATACTATTCGTATTAGTATAATCTTTCATGGGTATTTGTTGTTGATAATATTTTTGTGATGAATTTTTAAATAAATCTTCTAAAGGATCTTTTATTGGTTGAAAATAATTTGTTGATGGATTAGAAATATTATATGATTGTTGTTGATAATGTGATGATGTATTTTGTTTATCATATGAATTAAGATAAGAATCATTATTAACCTTATCATCAATTGTATATGATTCACCGGATAGTATTATTTGAGTAGGACTTATATTATTATATCGTTGTTTTGGTGGAGAGTCATATTGATATCTATTATGAGTAATCAATGGTTGACGATTTGGTGATGAATGTTGATTATGAGTGCGTGATCGTGTAGCTGCTGAATAATGATGTGAATCATTTGATGATGGTTGTTCATATTTTTTTCTAGTATTAATTTGAACAGGTTGTTGACGATTATTCAATATTCTTTGTGTAGTCGAACTAAATGAGAAAAATAAAATTTTTTTTTTTGTAATTATTATTTGTAAAAAGAAAAATTTATTTATTTATACTAAGATGTATCTTGTTTTGGACGTCGATCAACATTTGTTTTTATTTGTTGATAGCTTCGATCATCATGAATAACATTTGATTTTGTTGACTGATTATTATATGATGGTTGTTGTTGTTGTTGTCGTATTTGTTGATTTGATAATTGAGAATTTTTATATGGTGATGAAGTTGTTACTTGAGTACCAAATAAACGTGCACGGTCAGCTACACTTACTCCACCGCCTGGTATTACTAAATCAAATTAAAATGACATATTATTATCAAATTCTTTTTTTTTTTAATAATATTAATACTAATTCGTTTCTTTCCGTTTGATGTAGTATTACCGGAATCATAGACGACAGTTCCAGACATTGGTAATTTACCTGAAATACTATTTTCCATTATTTATTCTATCATAAATAAGTAAATAATGTGAGCATGAAAAAAAAAAAACTTGTTAATAGTGTAATAAAATACACATAAGTAACAGAAAAAAAAAGTGCGTAGAGAAGGTGATGCAAATCAATCAACCATGACTTAATATAGCCTTCAGTTTTGACCTGATACATGCGTTTGTATTTCCTCTGTGTATTATATGATGAAGAACGAATATTTTTTTTTTTTGTGTGTGTGTGTATGTGTGCTAGGCGTAAAAAGGAAAAAGAAAAGTAGTAGAAAATGATGTTATAATCATGAAACTGTATCGAAATCGTGACAGAAAGACAAATGAGATGTGAATTATAAATCATTTTTTTTTTCGACTATTTGACATTAAAGTATTAATATAATATTTTTTTCAGATATTAATCAAGAAAAAATAAATTAGTTTCTATAAATAATAACAATGAGATCTAAATTAAAACGTTAAATCATTCGAAAATAAAATCTTATAATTATTTCTCTTCTTTTTTTTTTGTTAATATTTCTCAACAAAGTATACTACTGGATAAAATTATTTTTTGTTTTGTTCAATGCAAATTAAAAAAAAATCTTCTGAACTAAATAGTCTTAGGAAGTTTATGACTTTTGAACGTTTCCAATAATAATTATGCTATCTGTAATTTTTCTATTATAAATTCAATATGAAAACTAATCGTATAGATTAGCATAATTTTTCATGTTATACAAAATGACATATCAATCATGTTCATCGATTATTCATATGCAGAGTTAGAGAGGTACGATATCATCTCTGTCTGATTCTGCAGAAACTAATTGATGAACATGATCGATATGTCATTTTGTATGACATGAAAAAATACATCGATCAACACTATTAGTTTTCATATGGAATTTATAATAGAAAACTCTCAATTAACATAGAAATTATTCGAAACGTTCAAAAATCATAGACTATCGAAAGTATGAATTTCTTGTACTTATAATGAATACAGTCAGTCGATGTTTACTCAAGCTTTTCGATTGCATATGAAAACTAACTATATAGTTTTGTAGGGTAAACTTCACTATATCACATTTCTCCAGAATAGAGCTATTTTGAGTAATGCTAACTGATTTTTTAGGCATTTTTCGTGTTCATTCACTACTTGGACTATTACAATATATAATTTCATGGAATATTCATTCAAAAAAAAATGCAAAAAAAAATTATTTTCAGTATTTTGATCATAACACCGTTATTTCTAAAGGAAAATTCACAATATTTTGTTAACCAAAATGATCAGTGAAAAAAGCTCTATGAAACCTGATAGAAAAAATCATTTTCTAAATAGTTTTGCGCTTTTTGTGATTGACTATCCATGACAGTGCCCAACTATTTCTGTAATCTTAGTATTCAAAACATCTATATTTATCGATAGAAATATTTAATAGCCAGCTTTGATATTACAAAAAGGTAAAACTTCAAATAAATTCATATTCTTCATTATACAAGTATAGTTTCTCAAATTTGGTTTCATGAAACTAACCGAAACATAATTAAAGGAAAAACCCATCGTGAAATGAAGATAATGTATAAATCTAAATACAACTTTCACTGTATATTAAAACGATATTGAAATTGTTGAAAACATTTTAGTCGATAGTAATCATATTGTTAAAGAAATCATGTATAAATTCAACATCCAAAACATATGATTCGTAATATATCAAAATAGTTATCTCAAAGATAATGATAAATTATGTTATGTTTTAAAAACAGACATGATATCAACAAAAAATCATGATTTTTAAAAGCAATTATTCATCAACATTCAAATATCTTTTATCAATCATAAAACTTGTTTAAATTAGGAAATATGATAATAAAGAACCTTGAATAATAATAATAATATAATAAAGAGAAATTTTGCAGTTCAATAAAATCTTTTAACAAGCAGAAATTTTCGATCTTATTTAAAATTGTACGGTCATCATCAACTACATAAGACATTATTTGTTTCTTTCGCCTATTCCGAATGTGTTTTTGCTTCGTTCACTTCGATCGGGAAAGTAAATATCAATAAAGAAAACATAAATAATAATCATATACACCTATACTTCACACGCCCTCTTGTATGTTTATGTTGTATATTTTTTGCTCTATTCAGTAGTGTAGAACTCATTAATTCGTTACAACTATTCAAATTTTGAAACTTTCCATTGCAATTCGGAGATTTTGAATATTTTCATGTGTCTCTCTGTATCAAGCGTAATGTAGTACCAAATCTATGTTCTTTTTGTGTGTTTTCTCCATGTGTTTATATTCCGTAGTACTCATACATCCTGTGATGTGTTTTGTAGATGCGTATAAAATTTGAATAGTTGTAATAATTATTCGAGTTTTACATGTATGATGTAACTAATGATGATTGTACCAAGGTCAAAAATTTCTATTGTTAAAAGATTATATTGAACTTCAAAATTTCTCTTTACTATATTGTGAATATTTGTTTTGAATAAGAATGATAATTAAGTAGAGAATTTGTTTTACTGTATTATTTTTGAATATAATAGTTCAATGATATAAGTTTAGATTGTAGCTATGAAATGTAAAAAGAAATATAATAGATATTGTGCATGAAATTTTTAAATGAGATTAAGACTTCTGAAAATTGCTAGTTTCTTCGATTTTTTATCGATATGTTCAGAACAATAAGAAAATTCCTAAGATTTTAGAATTCGAACACTAAGATAATAATCTAAAGATATTTCTCAATATCGTTCTTTCCCTTTTTTTTTCTATAGCTGTGAGATACACTTAATAGATAACAGTATGACATTATGCGTTTTGTTGAGTACCTATTTTAAATCAATCTCAATAAATGATAATGATACTCAAATGAATTGATTTGAATTGAAACGATGTTCGATGCATAACCGAAAATATCTCATTTAGACTCATTGAAATAATAGTAAATAATCCTTAATATTTATATATGTTTCTGTTTTGATATAAATATTGATTATTTTTTCAAAAGTAATACAAACTATTTTACTCTTGAGACATATATAACAGATTTGAATGGAAATGGAAATTTTTTTTATTTAAACTTATTTATGTAATATGAAAACAAGCATGATCTATTATATTCTATCAAATTAAAATTGATATTACTTGACAAGAATACTTTCTAGTAGAGACTAATTTAATATTGCTGTTGAAAAGATATGTATGACAATCTGGTTACAGTAAATCTCAATGTGCATTCCTATTTCGGTATGTATCAAAGCATAATAACATGAAAAGACATTAACTGCAAATTTTAATTAATCACAAAAGATAGACATCTTCATCAGTGTTGAGTATTACGTTAAGTCTTGTGAAAATATCTCTCAATAATAGAAGCATTATTAGTTCATCAAGAATGTGATAGATAAACTCCGCAAATAATGGAATTATTTTGTCCGATATGAATATTATTTCTTTTTGTATTTTGAGTTTCATTGAAATGAATGTACATTCGAATTTATCATACTTTATAAATATATGTATATATGTTTATTAATGTTGTGTAACAAGATATATAAGTATACAACTACAAATATGAAATAAAACATATGATATAGAAAAGATTCATAGGACGAATGACCTTCAAAGATAGAAATAAAATTACAAAAATCTCATTTCTGATAATATATTTTGTAAAAAAAAGAAACTTATGAATTTCTAAAAATTGAATAGTTGTATATTTCATTGTGCTAACAATCAACTTTGAGAGAAGTGCATGATTTTCATATGAGATATTTGATCTTATCCTGTAACATCAAAATAACTAGAATATCCGTTCTGATAAATTTGAAACTTTTAAACATTCTCTTTTTTCAAGTCATGTTTGAGGAATCGACAAACACTGATGGCTTCATTTGAAAACTTTATTGTCATGTCTGAATCGAACTTTCTTTTTTTTTCATCAAATTGATTATCTGATTTTGTCTCGTTTGTTTCCTTCTAAGTATCAGAAAGATGATAAAGACATTTATGATTTATCTAGCGAGGGAACCCGCTCAGGTGTCTCTTTCTAATTTCAAGGATTTGAGTACATAGAAAAATTCTGAAAAGTTTATTTGAGGTAGGAAGCTTTCAAAAAAGCAAAAATTCACATCCATGAAGAAGAGTCTACATGTTGAAAGTCTCCATTTCTCGAAGAGATTTTTCTCAAAGCATTGTAATATTTATATGGAAGTCACTCTAGTTGAATTCTCGTATATACGTAAAGTACCGAATATTTTATTTTCATAAAAACATACAGATTGATATGTATACGAAAAAAAAAATCCGATAGTTAATTTAAGAATTATTTGTACGATCTAATTGTTGTCGTTGGTCATCCTCTCAAATTGCAATAGGATGTATTAGATTCATATTCGAAATTTGGTACGTTTAATTTTTTGTCCTTGAATGATTTCACAATCAAACATAAGTTTAATAGATGAAAATATCAAATCAAAACAAAAAAAAAAGAAAAGAAACATGCCTTTAAGTGTAATATCGATTAGTATTCTTCGATTCAATTGTTATCCCGCCCCTCAATCAATATAAATTGTAGCTTTTCACACTTTACTTAACTCATAGTGAGATAAATATCGATCAATAAAGCAACAATAATTACATCACACTTTAGTCATCTCAAGGTTAATTGACTATGAACACGTGAAATAAAATCATAAGAAAAATTATTTTGAAAAAAAGTATAATCACTTAATTCAAAGAAGACCACCTATTGTGAATTATTAGTTATCAATGCCATTCCTTTTGTTTTTATTTAAATCTATCGATAACACATTTTTTTCTCATAATTCCATTCTTGCCATATACATATATATATATATGTCTGCATTCATTTGATATAATCATTGATCAAAAGTAACAGTCACTACCACAGCATGTTATCACGAGAAACATAATTAGCCTTTTATATTGTCTTTCCTGTCATAAACAATTTCAATATAGTGACCTATCATCATCGATCGAATAATTTTAAATTCTTTTTTTTTTAAGACGAAATCATTTATGCATTTTTTATTTCAGGATGTCGTCTATGCATCGATAGATGTAAAGATCAAAAGAGTAAATAATAATCAGCTTTATAAAGGATGTAGTTGTTCCAATTAATAAAACAACAACAGCAACAGTAGAAAAAAAAAATGTTCAATCGAACGTTAATATTTAAAAAAAAAAGCGAGTTCGTCCTCGTCCTTTTTTTTTTCTTTTTTGTTAGATTTATTCTAATTATAGAAGAATTGCCTGCCGACTAATGGAAGGGGGAGATATATGTTGAGTTTTAATTAGTATATATATATATATATATATTGGTAAAAAAGAACAACACGTTAACGGAAATCATAGCTGAAAGTCTGTAATAAGAACATCATCATCTTTAATTGGACGCGTGCGATAGAGCAGATGTCTTTATGTTAAAAACATATTTCTTGTCGTTGAGAGAAAGAAATAAAGTAGAGATTAGCATCTCTCTCTCTATTGAAGAGATCAGGTGAAAACAGTATCGAAATGAGAAGATAATTGTCCTTTCTTTTCCACTCTTCACTTAATAATCATCATGCCGCAAGGCTTTTAACTGTGTAATATATGTATGCATGAAGAACAGTATAGTGATCATAAACACAGCTTCGTCCTTTGAAGATGATGAAATCACACTTGATTTGTCATACATATATATATATATATATCTGGATTCGTTTTACTTCTTCGCTCAAAAACACTTTCGTTTATTTTTTTCATGAAGAAAAATTGTTTTCTACAACTGAATGATTACGTAACTTCAAATAAAAACAAAAAAAATGTGTCTAGAGTTTGGCGATTCAAAAAAACAAACTGAAATCGTAACCGTTAAATCCTCAGATAGATACAAAAATTGTTCAGATTAAAGATCTCAGTGTATATGTATAATATTGTTTTATTTAAGATCCCCATCTTCTCAAAAAGGTCAGAATGATCAAAATTAAGATAAATGCATGGGAAGATAGCCCGTCATTTTTTCGTTTTTTTCCCTCAGTTCACGATATATGTAAAGATGCTAGTTTTTTCAATTAGGCTTTTTCTTTTTGTTATTTATATAAATTGACGAGAATTTTTCGAGGACTTTTTCAGTCAGCGAACTATCGATTCCATGAAAAGTGAATATTTAAAAAATCGGCTCTCGTCATGCCCTGCTCTTTCCAACAAAAAAATGAAATTTAAATATATTGGATGGGTTTCTGGATCTGAGAAACTTGGAATGCTAAATCACCTATTTTTAACCCTTGATTTGGTCAATATCTACCTTAAAACTCATTTTATTATAGCTTTCCCATTTCAGTCTCAATATATTCTCCAATTTTCAGGTCATTTGAACATTCCTGGGCTGAGATCGATTTTTGAGGGATGGAGATCTTAAGTTGTCTTTAATCTCAATTTCGAAATTTTCGTATTTATCTGATAATTTAACGGTTCCGGTTTCGTGTGATCTTTCTCACTTCTAGTAACCGGAATTGCGCTTCCGGTTTCAGGTAATTTTTGACATTACCACCGAAATCTAGCCCCGAGATGACCAAGATCGGAGAGGAGGGAAGAGTCGAACGATTTTTTTTGGGGGGGAATTGATAAGCACAAAACACTGAAGAATAATGTAGAATATATAGAATAGGAAATTTGTTTATTCGCTCTTTTAGATTTTATTTAAATAATATAAAGCAAAAAAAAAAAAAAAGAATGTTATTTTTGTTTTTTTTGTTTATTTTCTTGCATATAAATACACATAGACAGAAAAAGAACTTTTTCACAACTATATTTGTTCAAAAATTAGAATTTTTCATCTAATTAACAGCATATGATGATGGTGGTGGTGGTGGTGGTAATGGCCAAAAATTATTTGGATGATTTGTATAATCCATTACATGTCCATATGGTGATGATGATGTAGCATCAATAATAAATGAATTTGAATTTGTTGATGATGGTGCTGATGATGATGTTGGTTGTTGTTGTTGTTGTTGTTGTTCGTGTTTTACTAAAAACATAGAATCAGTAGATTTATTGTTCATCGATCGTGATGTACGATGATGTGGTGATAAATTTGGGTTAGAGGGTTGGGAAGACGACGATGAATGATGACTAACATTTTTAACAACTTTTTTTTGTTTACTTCGTTTATTTTGAAACCAAATTTTGACCTAAAATAATGAATAAAAGTTTTTTTTTATGTTTCAAAAAGACAAAAAAAAATCCAATTATTCTACTTGTGTTTGTGTAAGTCCAAGTGATGCAGCTAATTCAGCACGTTCAGGTAAAGCAAGATATTGTGTACGTTGAAAACGTTTATTAAGTACTTGTAATTGCATACTTGAATAAATTGTTCTTGGTTTACGAATTTTTTTTCCTTTTATTGTTAATTTTGGTGGATTATCATAATGAGATGATTTATCATCAACTAAATTTGAATCAATTGTTAATGATGAATATGGTATATTATATGGATATGAATAATTTGATGAATAAAATTGTTCTTGTGATATTGGATATGCATTATGAATAAAATTTGAATATTGTTGATTTGATATATTTATTGATGATGATGTTCGTTGTTCTTGATTAGTAAAATCAAGAAATGCATTTGATGATGATGATGACGATGATGGTGGTGGAAGTGCTTGGATTGGTTCATTATGCATCATTTCTTTCTTTTTTTCTTCTTCTTTTTTTTTTTTCTTTTCGTTTTGGATAATTTCGATAGTTATAATTTGTACGATGAAATAATAATAATAGCAATGAATAAGAAATTAATGAAGTTAGACGAGCGTAAGCGTAATTTCCCTTGGATAATTACGGTTGACGATGCATTGATGTATACAATACAAAGAAAGAAAAACGATCAATTGGGGAGTAAATTGTCTTTTTTTTTTTTTTTTTTTTAAAAGATTAGGCTGATGATGATGATAATAATGATCTGCTTTTGGTTTCTTTTTTCTTTACAATAAGTTGACGATAAGCTATATGTGTTCGTTTCATCGATAATAATTAGGGGTAATTTGAGAAAGAAAACGGGAGACAGAGAGAGAGAGAGAGAAAATATTTTCTTTTGCTCTATCAGATTTCATCCAATAGGAAAATCATGTGAATATTTTCAAAAAGAAGATATTTCATTGGTTACATTGATAAATAGTATTTCAAAAGAAGTAAAAAAAAAAAAAGAATTCTTTTTATGCTACTCAAGAAATTGACAGAGTAAAAAAAAGAAAAACGTGGGGTTATATTGACTTCCTTTAGATTTTATATAGAAAGTTTGAAGAGCTTGTATGTCGAGAATAGGTATTTATATTATGCATATTAAAAAAAAAAAAAAAGAAAATAATAATTGATCAATGTGCATAGATCATGATTCTTACTGTCTAATCAATTGTAAAGTCTAAAGAAGATTTGAAATTTTACTTCTAAATATAAATTTTTGTTTTCTTGGCGATTTTAACATGAATTTGTAACGCTTTTTTTCTTTTTTACAGTGATGCTTAATAAAAATAATTTATATGGATTGGAATTTCGGGCAAGGATATTAATATTTTTTGTCATTATTTACAAACTCATGCTGATCTTTCTCTTAAACTTAAAATAAACATAAACCCTAAGACATCCAGTCACGATTCATATAGAACCAAAGAAAAAAAAAAGATTTCTTTTCCGTTCTCTTTTCCTGTATAAATGCGTACATTATAATTATAACGAAAGCACAACGGATGTCATGTTTGAGTTTGTCCATCAATATAAAGCATTATGTTTAAATTACAGTTTGCATTGCAAAAAAAACCGTTCTTTTGTACTCATTTCTATGCCTTTAACCTTATTGATAAAAGAAGAAAAAACTACACAACAAGGTTATTTTGGAATGAAGAGTTCGTTTATTCTTTACCTGACGTTTACTACTTGAAATTCTATGAAATAAGTATTTCAAGTGAGAAGTCAGGATATAAAAAAAATGAAAATTATTTTCATTTGTTTATTTCCTTTCATTTTCTATTTTATTAGAAAAAAGAAAAACAACAAGAAATAACAAGTATGACTAGTTATAGTCAAAACAACTAGATTAAACAACAAATGATTTATTCATGTTATCACTTTTAAATCGTTTATTAGCACCACCTCGTCCACCAAAATCGGAATAGCGTTTATGAGGCAATGTTGAAGCTTGATCTTGATTAAATTGTCCTTTTTCCCTATTTATCAAAAACAAATAATCAAAAAAAAAAAAATAGAAAAATTAATTGATAACATACGAATTTTTTTGATATTTTTCAAATTTTGCTTGCATTTTACCCGTACCTGATATACGTTTTGTCTTAAAAAAAAAAATAAAAATGAGATTGTTTTCGTTTCATCTAAATTATCTATACCGCATTTTGTTCAAGTATTGAAAATTTCTTTTCTAAATCTGCACGTTGTTCTATACCTAATGTTGCTTCTGTACCTTCGCCGAGTGCATCAACACGTATAGCTAATGCTGCTTTTGCAGCTAACATTCGACTAACTTTGCCTTTAAGTTTAGCAGATGTTTGACCAACTAATGATGCATGATAAATTAAACCATATTTTGGTGTATCATGTTTTGTTTTCATTGCACGAAATAAAGCTTTTTCAGCACCTAATATTTGTACAGTTGATGCTGGATGTTTAGCAAGATTAAGTAATGATCCAGCATGTGATATAAGTCGTGCACCAACAAGTTCACCAACAAGAACAGTTAAATTAGGTGCAACAGCCATCATACGATTTTTAAGATATTCAAATAATTGTGTACGATAATCAGATATTTCAATAACCTTACAATAAGAAAAAGTTTTTTTTTTTTTTTTTTTTTTTTTATTATAAAAATTCAATAAAACCAATAATCTCAGTATGGGACCGTTCAACCTGTGTATGGAATTCAGACTGGGGCGGTAACTAACGTCATCATAGATTATTGGTAAAATTTTCTTTATGTTAGATTCGAACATGAGACATATAGTTTTTTCTCATACGAAACCATTCAACTAAACATACTTGTGAACAAAGATGACGAATATTTGTTATATCTTCTTCAGATATTTCTGTACCCATTGATATTTCAGCTGCTTCTTTTACTTGTGCTTCGACATCTGATGGTAATATGTCGGATAGATCAAGTTCAGCTGCAAGTGTTCGATAACCTATATTCAATAAAATATAAAGGAAATTTATTAAAAAAAAAAAAAAAAGAAGTAAACCTATTCGTTGAACTGTTTTGCAAAAAGCAATATTATCTTGAATAATTTTAGCTAATTCAGGAAAATGCCAACCATACCATTCTTTACAACGCATTATATAATTATTGACTTCTTTATCAAGATCATCCAATAAAGCTGTTGAAAAAATAAATAAATAAATAAATAAATAAAATTAACAAATAGGATAATACATACAGATTGCTTGAACAATCATTGTATCAACTTTATCAGGAGAAAATTTCAATTTGTATCGAGATAAACTAAAAATTCAATAATAATTTTGAAATAAATCATTACATTTAATAGTATTATCAGCGAATATATGAGCACAAAAAAACAAAAATGATCAGATTATTCTCTTGTATAAGAAAGTTCTTTAAATTTCACATTTAGCTTATGCTTTAACAAGGAAAGTTTTCCAACTGTTCAATCGCTTTTGAGTCAAGATTCACCTTGAAAGGAGTTCGTATCCATAGCTTATTCATATGAAGATACTGCATTTTTCAAATAAACGCCGTGCTCCGCAGAGTCCATGTACTTCGACTGGACTCTCACTATACTTCCGGAGTACAAGCCCAGGCGGTAGGGAAGCACTGCACTACGCTGTTTCTTCTCATTGGACTCCGTGTTCCCTGGGAGTACCAGAGTACATCATTTTTCTCTTGAGTCTCACTCAAGGTGGATGGGCTCTACCCTGCACATTTGTTAGACGATTCGTCTGAGAAATGTGTAGAGTGTACTAATCACCAATACAAAAAACCGGCGAAAAAGTATCTCATATCTTCGGGGCGACTATCCTATTTCGATCAGAAAACTTAAGTAAATCAAAAGATCTGAAATTTTCACAATAAATTACTCTCGTTAAGGCTTGTCTCTATGCAAAGTTTCAAGTTGAAAATCACTTTTTTCTATTACCACAGCATTTATTTAAGGCCATCCCCCTCAAAAAAAGTCAATTTTCGTGAGAATTGTCAAAATTGAGATAAATACATAGGAAAATTGTTCGGCGTCTGCTCTTTCGAAATCAATAAAATTTTTTCCTAAAACCTCCATTTTTTCTAGAAATATTTTAGAATTTCAGAGAACCAGTTTTTGAAAAACCAGCAGTTTTTTGAAATATCCAAAAATCTTTTTCGTTTTTTTCTCATTTTTCGCTTTCTCGTACGCGCATCCCAAATTTCTCTTTCATAGTTCGTCCAATGTATTAATATTTGCTTTTTGTTTGAAAGAGCACGTCAAGATGTAGTGCAGTACAGAGTCCTTTTTTTTAAATTAAGCTTGTTTTTTATTATATATACAAACACTTATATAAACAGACCACCATTTTTAGGGAGTTTTTTGAGTCATTGAACTTGTCAGGCCTTTTCTCCGCTTAAAAGGTAATAATTTAAAAACAAAAAAGACTCTGTACTGCACTGCATCTTGAGATGCTCTTTCAAACAAAAAAAAAAATTTTAATATATTGAATGAGCTTTGACCGAGAAAAATGAATTGCCAAATGAACTACTATTGACCCTTGTTTGGTTCATATCTCTATCAAACATCAGGGTATCGAGCTGAAAATTTTACCACAGCCTCCACACATCAGCCCATTTGAATGTGCCTGGAGCTGGGATCGATTTTTGAGGGGGAGGGCGGTGGTCTTAAAAATTTTCCTCTATTTTTCATAAAAGAATATTTTAACTCAAAGTGTTTATCGATTACATAGTAATCGAACTAAAGTCATAGATAGATGTGTAAACTACCACCACACAAAAATAGATATTTGATTTTTTTTAAAATTTCCGATGGTCCCAAATCAATTTTTGGGAATGTCACCGTCTGATTTCTTGACAATAAGTTCTCCATCATAATTTCACCTGCCGAAAACATCTCAGGTCAAACAATTAATTCATATAGATTGCTTATCAATGAATTCGATTTATTTTTGAAATGATTTTATACCTATGTGCTAAACCAATACGCATAGCAGCTAATTCTTTTTCATCAATTTGTAATAGACTATCAGCTTGTGAACGAATAACACGCATAAGATCTTGTACTGAACTATTGCATACACAATCGAAACTAAATTTTTCCTAGAATAAATTTATATTTATTGTATTGATATATATATATATAGTAAAACAAACTTTAATAGCTTTGCCAAGTGTAGAATCAGCAACAAGTAATTGTCCCTGTACATCAGAATCAACAAGACGTTTAAGTAATTTTTTTAATGGTTTAGAGATTTTTCCTTCAACTGCTGCTGTTGCTGCTGCAAGTGCTTGTGTTGTATCATCGAATTTTTCAAAATGTGTTAATTTTAATCTAAATAAAAGAAAAAATAGAATCTTATTCAAATAAATATATCCATACACTTTAGCAGCTCTTTCTGGTGATTCGAAATCAACATATAAATTTTGTGTTTCCTGTAATTTTTTTTCATCAAGTAACTAAATGTAAAAATTTTTATTAAAATGAAATAAACGATTAAGAAAAAAAAAGAATAAACTTTAAATATGGCATAGCCAGCTGATGTTTCAAATAAAATAAGCATATTGTTAATAGACTAAGACACAGACGATTGTTGAACTTTTTAGTTTTAAAATTTATCTGTTTTTTTTTTATACATCAAATGGTATCATATGGATTTACCAATCTTTATTCAGTATCTTGTACCTCTCAACAAATCTTAAAAGATGGCGCCTTGTTGCAGATCATATTATTGTAAAAATTAAATATTGTTCAGAAGATTTTTTTATTACAACTAGACTAATGTGAAATAGTATTGGTATGCAAATCAAATATTTTTGTACAGAATTCAATGACTAATCGTTTTTAAAATTAAAAGGTTCATTATTATTGCACAATTGAGCAGAAACGTTTTCTTTGCAGTCGAATATTATTTTAGAAACGACAATAGTGTGTGAAGAATCGTCATAGTGTAATATCGAGAATTCCGACAGATTCAGAAACATGAATACACTTGATCAAATAATTTGATTTTTTAAGGACAGAAAGCATGGAAGGAAAAGTAAAATCCTATTGCATGTCAGGATTCATCAGCATATGTAAATATCTTCAGTAATCCACAGAAATTTAGTGCGCTGGAAAAATTATCATGTGTTACTCTCGCATCTATACTAGATTTTACTGTACGATTAAGTTTAATCCAAAAAAATGGAGGAGACTATATTCGCTAGATAAAAAAAGACCATTTTATGCAGAATTTCAAGTCCTATCTTTTGATTAGAAAAAAAGTATTTTAATCAAGGGGATAATAGAGGAGAAAACTTTAAAATACTAAGAAGTCGATTATTTATGACTCACCCTATATTTTGTAAATGATCATCATGAACATGATTTCGCATCTGTTTTAAAAAGATTTTTATTATTGTTGAATTAAGAGCCCCCTCAGAAACGAACTTTGTTATTTTCTCATCCGATTTCAACCAAAATTTCAGAGAATGGTGGTCTTTACTAGAATAACTTATGGTTAAAATATCTCCCCCAAATCTCAAAGATATGCACAAGTTCCAATCAATTCATTACCCTTTACGCGAGGAAGGTTTTCACAATGGAGTTACTAGCTAATCATGTCGGGGTGGTTTTTAAATTGTAGAGTGACCTTAGGGCTAGATCCTCACAGGCTCCGATTTTTGAATTGCCCTTTGTTTGATTTTTAAAAATATTTTTTCGAAAAATGTTCAAATTCAAAGTGCTAATAAATATGAAATATCTGAGTTTTTTTATTTCAGCAAAAGAGAAATTCAAAAATCGAAGCTTGTGAGGATCTAACTCTAACTATCCTTTATTTTGAACAAAAAAAAATTATTCCTTCCCTATGGAGTCATTATTAAGAAATCTTTTCCCGCGTAAACGGTAAACTCGAAAAAATTGATTTTGAGAAAAACGAAAAACAAATTTAGAAATGGATCTTTTTATTCAAGCTCACAAAACAACATATGAAAATAGCATATTTTCAGAATTTTGTCGATTTTTGAAACAAAAAGTACAACTATAAAATAAGTGCCATTATACAAATTGTAGAGCTTTTTATGCTGCATCTTTTGCTATATTTTGTTGTTTTTTTATACAATGTATTAAAATAGAAAAGCAATGTTTTTCCGTTTTTGAAAGACTTCCGAAAATATCTCGAAAAACATGATAGTAGGTCCCCAATCTCCTTTGGTAAGTTTATTAAAACCTGACCTTTTTGGAAAAAAAGGCATATATTTTCTGAAAGAAGAGGCTTCGGCGCATCTTACTATGATAAAATCTTAACTTCGAGTTTTCTTCGAAAAAATAGGTTTGCTGAGAGGGTGGCCTCCCTTAAACTTAAAAAAAAATAGTAATTATTTTCTTCTGCAGAAAAAATAACGAATGTATTGAAGAGTGGATTCGAATTACCTTTTCTAAATGTGTTATAATATGTATCTCATGTTACACTTTAATATATCATATACTATACATTAATATATAGTTTTTCAACAATCTTCTATAAGATATACTACTAATCACGAGAAATTCTCTTGTATAATAGAAGATATTGAGAAAGAACAATAGACAAAATCTGGAAAGTCAATTGTCTAACTATGTAAAACATAAAGAGGTAAGCAAAATATATACGAAACTATTAATAACAGCTAGCAGCTAACAGGATCTGCTCTTTCCGTTTTTGAAAGAAAGCTTATAGGCTGGACATCATATTCATGTGAATATATCATTGATGAAAAACAATGCAAAAAGGTAGTAAATTGTTTTTTTTTTACATTAAAAAAAACTCGTGAAAAAAATCGATATCATTCATCATAATTTTTTTTACATTTAAATATTTTGATTGAGATCATATCTTTAATCGATATTCTTGGTAAAATATGTACAGACAAATTATCAAACTTCATATAGATGTGATACTTCTGTATACTATTGTATGTAAAATACACAATAAAGAAAATATTATCATGTTTCACATGTCAATTGCAGAAGTATTTTATTAAAAGAGTTATATAACAAAAATGAAATAGAATCTATAATTAACTTATTTTATTTTTGATTAATATGAATTTTTATACATATAATTTATACTTGCCTAATTATATTGTATGGCTTCTGTTGTTCTTTATTTATTAGAAAGGTACAGAGACAAGAAAAAAAACAAACAAACAGATGCTCAAATATTTATGAAAAAAAATGTTCCTAAAATTCAAAATTTGCCCAATTTGCTAGCAACTCTTTTAACTTTTTGTCTTAATTGTTCTTTCATTAAATTAACACACATTGCAATAAGTACAAGGCCAAATAAAATATATACAGCTGCCGAAATAAGTTTTTCTTTTTCAGCTTCAACTTTTAATGATGATCCCGGTACAAAATCACCAAAACCAATTGTCGTTAATGTAATAAAACAAAAATAAAATGCATTAAGAAAACTCCATCGTTCCCATATACTAAAAAGAATTGCTCCAAGTGTTAAATAAAGTGGAATGACAAAAACAGTAACAAGTAAAGGAACACTCATTTCTTCATCATCATCATCATCATAATCATCATCATCATTCATATCAAGATTTGTTAAATCTAATGTTGTATTCATTGGATAAAATTGATGTTCATTTTTCCATGTTATTGTTGTTTGTAATGGTGTTATATCATTTGTTGTTGATTGTTCATAATCAGGTGGTGGTGGTAATGTTCGAGAAGAACGTTCATGAAAACTTTTTGATCGACGTGGTAATTTATTATCTATTTGATGAATTTCATTATCATTTATTTGTTGTTGTTGTTGTTGTAATGAATTTTGACTATTGTCATCTTCTATAGATATCTGTTTTTTTAATTTCTGATTTTTACGTGAAAATAAACGTCGACGTGGAGGTTTTGTTGTTGTATCAGTAGTCGATTTTTTCACTGATCGACGATCATGTGATGATTCAGATTTTGAACGTTTTAAAATTTTTTTCGAAGCTTTTTTTGATTCTTTAGTTTTTTCATTATTAACAATGTTCGCAGTATCTTCTGGTAGGACAACCTGTAAATAAACATACAAAAACAAAACATGTTATGAATTTGCCTTACTAGATGACCTTATTGATATTTGTTATACCAATTTTAAGAACTTTTGAAAATTTCTAATTTCTGTACGTTAAACTATTCTGAGATTAATTTAGAATCATATTATCAGAGAAATTTGTTTAGAATATCTTAATGAGAATTGTAAAATTTGCTTTTTTTTTGTAGTTCTAGAATTTATTTATTTATTTTTTTTACTTGTTTCATATTATTTTCATCTTGATTTGCTATCGTTGTTTTGTCTTGTTCTATAGGCATAATTGGTTTATCATGAATAGATTCATCAAGATTACTTGTTAATTTATTTGTTTCATTAATATAATATTGAATTGGACTAATATCAATAGATTGTCGTCGTTGTCCTTCGTTATTATGATTAGTTTCTTCAATATCTTGAAGAGAACTTTGTCGAATAAGTTCATTAATACGAATAATAGCATCTTTTGATTTTTCTCCAATTGAATTCATTGATGATGTTGAAGAACGTGATGTATTTGAATTTGGAATTCCAGTAAGAATATTTAAACGTATATTAGCTGGTAATTGTCGTATATCATTTGAACAATTCATATTTGTTATAGATTCAGATTTTAAAGAATTTATTTCTTTAGATAAATTTGAATCTTTATGATTTTCTTGTTTAATTGATTTTAAATTTGATTTTGTTATTATCATATTATCTTTAATTTCTTCATTTAATTTTGATATTGGTAATTTTTCATCAATAACAACAATAGATTGATTATTTTTTTCAAATAATTTTTGTCGATTTTTTAATGCTAATGTACGTTTTTTTTTATTACTCATTCGACAACAAAATATCATTGTTATACGACTAAATACAAATGCAAACAATTTTGCCATAGTTGAACCAATATTAGCAACGAAAAGCATCATTAACGGTACACCAAATGCACTATAAAGTATAGTAGCTATTTTTCCTTGAGTTGTCTTCGTTGTTATGTGACCATAACCTATAAAGAAGATTCAATAATTAAAAGAAAAGGTCTTCTAATTAAATTATCTATATTGTAAGATTTATAATTATAAGATTTTTCTCTTTACCAATTGTTGATACAAGTGTAACAGCATAAAGAACAGCACCAAAAAAATTCCAATCATGTTCAGAATTAGTTGTTCGTCCATCAAAACCTTTTTCTACTTGTCGTTTAACTGTTGCTTCAAATTGTCTAAATTAATATTAATAAAAAATTTTTTTGTCTTTTTATTGCCTTTTTTTGAAATAACATCTTACTCAAGTTCACCTGTTGCATTTAAACTAAAATTTCCTTTTTTATCTTTTTCAGGAAATGGATTAACACGTAATGTTTCTTGCCATAATTTATCAAGTGTTTTATTAAGTTCAAGATCCATAATATGACGCATATTATGTTCATTTCCAGCTTCAAGTGCTTGAAATAATATACCACCTAATGCAACATAACCAATCATAACAAAAAATAAACCAACACGTGAAAACATAAATGCTGTAAATTTTTTGCAACATTTTAAACAACTTTCTTTCGTACATATTTGTTGATCATCAGTAGATGTTGGATCTTTAGCTTGTCGACGACGCATACTGTAATAATAATAATAGATTATATTAAATCAAATTATAGATATCAAACGAAATTAGAAAAGATATATTTCTTTTTTTTTTTTGGTCTAATTGCATACTTAGCTTTTGCCAAAGAAAGAGCCGCTGATCGATAAACAACAAAAACTTGACCAGGACGCATTCTTGTCTAATTCTGATCGAAAAAACAATTTTTCTTTTTTTTTTGATAATTCGTATTCTCGAGAAAGGAAAAACGGATCAGTATATAGATGGATACAATCGAACCAGCCTAGACTGTATATGTATATGTACACATATATAAAGAAAAAAAAAAAAAAAGAAGCAAGCCGGTGTCTTCTATTCTAATCAGTACAGAAAATAGAATACACCATCAATGCAAGGGAGAAAAAAAGAAATGGCACTAGACAACACTGCTGTTGCTGCTTGTTTGATCGGCATTCAGTTTGTATGCGTGTGTATGTATGTGTCTAACTGCTAACGTCATCAAACAAATGCTAGAAGAGAAAAGAAAGAATTATGTTATCAAGCTAGTCGTCATTCTATTGTTATGTGTTATTTTACCAGAAATCATCAGCATCTGTTCTTACAGTGACTACTATTAATATACTTCGATGCATAGAACTAAAAAGAAGAATGTCTATGCACCCTATGGATTCTTGTTTTTATTTAATAGTATTAATAATGTCATGATTGATATATTCATTGTTAAATACGCATTTACAAAAATTCTAAGATTTTATCTACTTTTTTTTTTTTTTCTTCTATGTAATTAAGTCGATAGCATGCAGTGAAAACGAGTTTAGATTAAATCATAATCATAAGAACATACACATTGATTTTTTTCTACTAATATTATCATAGAAAATAAATATTAAAAGATTGGTAAATAGAAGAAGAAGAGAAAAAAGAAAGAGAACCTACTTGAACAATGATTTCCGATGTTTGTTTGTTTTATTTTGAAATAGAAGTCACGATGTCTAATAGTTACTTAGGAATTGTTTCCAAATTCAATGAGTATACTTTAAAACTTATCTGTCGAATAATAATTACGGAACGCAATGATGTTACTGTTGTCATCGTGTTCATGTCAAAACAAAATATGACTAAGTAATAGATGATCACTTTTTTTTTTTTCGATTATATCAATAAGAAATGAGAAAAAGAAACTAGTCCGAATACCCTATGGATTATTTAAGAAAGACTCTTGTGAGAATCAATTTATGCTTCAATTAATTGAAATATATGTAAGAGAAGCAAGAAGAAGAAGAAGACGAAAAAAAATTACCTGCTTTTATTCCTAGCATAAAATGAGACGGGCAATGAATATGTTCGTATAAGTGTAGCATGTTGAGGAGATTTTCGAAGAAAAACAATTTGAGACGATTGACGTATTAAATTATTTTTCATTATATTAAATGAAGTACCAGATATATAACTAAATCAATCAATCGATTCATCTGGTAATGTACTACTATGAAGATTTATACATTTTCTTTTTGGATATGTATGTGTATAAATCGACTCTATAGAATATATATATATATATATATACGCTAGAAATGCGATGAAGACGATTCGATTTTATGTCTCATTTATTTTTTACCATACATATAAATGCAACACATTGTCTTATTCCTATAAAAATAAGCAAGAAAGCAGCACTCATAATGTGTATAACGAGAACAAATATAGCAGTCAAGCACACGATATGACCAGTATCCAAAGATATTACTTTAGAAGATATATTAGAGCATAATTGCATGCTTCTATAATTATATAGAAAATAAACGAGATGAAGATCATCAATGATGATAAACAAAAGACAAATGTATAAAAGAAAAAAAAAAAAGCTTAAATAACAGTTTTTTTCCTAAACGTTTACCCGTATAAATTGTAAAACAAATCTTACTTATTTTAAAATCGTCGTTAAGTTAGATAGAAATGTATTGATGTATGTATATATATTTGTGTCAAGAAAAAAAATGATCTTCTGTTTGATCATCATCAACCTCTTTCCGTTGATAGATTGAAGGTTTTTTTTTTTCTATTTGTCCCAACTGACAATATATCCTATTGAGATCATGAAGAATTTTTTCTATCAATATGTCAAACAAGCAACTGTCGTAAAAAAAAAAGAAGAAGAAGACAATTCTTGCTGATCATAACTCATTATATGATCATGTAATAGTCATGGACCTGCATGACAAAGACATCGAACAACTGACACTTATATTAGAGTCAAATATAAGAAATAAACATTTTTTGAAAGGAAAAAAAAAGTATATGTAGATAAAAATAATTATTAAATCTTTCGCTTTTTTTTTTCATTTCGTCTCTAGCAAACGTCATTGTACAATGTTTCTGATATTAATTTTCTTGAAAATATTAATATATAATGGTCTGTTTCTTGTTTGTTTTCTTTTCCTTGCTATTGTGGATATACTAAATTGCTTCCCTCAATGCTTGTCATCGAGGAACGATCAATTAATGCTGTCAGTTGTATTCATCTGTAGATATACAAATATATATATACATGTTAGAGTCTTTACACAAATATTACAAAGGTAGTCAAGCAAACAAGGCTTTTCTTTTTATCATTATAAAAAACATCTTATTTATAATTTCAATAGAAAAATGTTATATATCAATTCAAACGTTTTTATTATAATCAATAGGAAAAAAATACATTGATTAATATATATATAAAAATTATCGTTTAAAAAAAACAAATTAATGAAAGACTAAAAAGACGACTTTGATTTTGTTTTCTTGTCAAGCATTCGTTGTTGTTGTATTACTTCGATCTGATGAGGTAACACTGCTAAAATGAAAGATAAAAACAAAAAAAAAATTTGTCGGATCAAAAAATTAGAGCAATGTACAAATCATTAGAAAATCTAAGTATCACCATATAAAACAATTCAATTAGTTTACTTTTCTATTCAAATAAACGAACATTTCACTATATTTGATTTCATCTTTAATTATATACTAAACGCTAAATGATATATTATCGATTAAAGTCCCTAGAATATGATATTATTCATAGGAAATGTTTCTTAGATATATAACTAATGATATTTCTCAGGAGATTTTATACTTCTGTTCTTGCTTAGGATAAATCTCTCTTCACTTGTCTAATACTTCAATATATTCTTCATTACAAATTATTCGTTGCTTTTTCTTGGGCAAAAATGTCTACACAACTGATGTTGGATCAGGTATATATCTTTAATCCTACGAAGAAATCTCGGCCTTCGTTCTTGAGATAGATTGTTCGATAAAAACCTGTGATCTCATAAAAACACCGACTTTCGACTTAAAGTCGATTTTTCATATGACCATAGCTTTCTATTAAATAATCCATCTCATGAACGAAGGTCTGAAAAATAGAATCATTCAAGGCTTTTTTATTACTCATCAAATGAACATTGTCTCGATTAAAAAAGCGATTTACCACCTGTAGAGATTTCTTCATCAATATGTTACAATCATTTAAGAAAAATTCTTTCTAACTAACTTTCTTGTTTTGGTTCTTTGACATTTTGGACAATTTAATTTTCCATTTTCATAACATTGAATATGAAAGCATGATTGGCATCCTAAAAAAAAAAAGAACAAAGAAAACATAAATTTCTTCTTTTTTTTTGTACAAATAAAGAAAACGAAAAAAAAAAATACAAACCAGGACAAGTACTTGTTATTTGAAGATTAAATGGAAAAATAATACTTTTTTCATTATTACATATTTCACATATGAAACCTTTAGCAAAACATAAAGAACATCTTAAAACATGATCACGTAATTTCATAACAATAGGTTCTAACACTTTATGTAATTCACCTAATTTAGTCTTAGAAAATGAAAAATATAAACAAAATTTAATAACAATCAAAAAAGTAACAATATTTTACTTTAACTAAATCTTCTAATGAATATATATATGGATGTTCATATATATATGATGGTAATGTTTGTAAACTTTGTTGACATCTAGAAAATTTTATTATTAAATAAAAGTAAAAATCAATAATAGAAAATTACCCATTTTCTTCAGCAAAACGACATGTTAATATATAACGACGAAGAAAATAAAGTGTACAACGAAGTTCATTCATTAATTTTAATTTATTACTTTTTTGAAATAATTTTGGATTAAGACCATTTATATTAAATATTGCTTCTGTATATATACGATTTAAATAATCAAAAGCAAAATTTGATACACTATGTTTATTTGAAAAATCCCATTTTGTTATTATATATGATGGTAAATAAAATTTTTTATCAGAATGACAACTACGACAAAAATATTTTCCTAAGAGAAAAATTTATTTTTGTTAAAAAAAATTTTTTTTTTTATATTACCTGTATATTCACAATATCGAAATCGATGAGCATAACCTTTTTCAACATCACGTCCACAACCAGCACATAAATAACCTTGTTTTTTTAATTGACTATCACGACTAGATACGCAAAAAAAAACACAACGAAATTTATATTAAATTTAACTCCATAAATATGAAAATTATTGAATGATCATGATCTACGGTATCAATTTGAATTTATCATTTATGAAAAGGATATTCTAAAGATTTTCCTAGAAGTTTTTGTTTTGTCAATATTATCACAATTCTAATAAAGTATTCATAAGTCTTGAAGGAATGTTATTGCTCTATAGAGTATTTTATCAAGAATTTCTCTTCCGAAAAGGTGATATAAAATTCCGGAAGGGACGCCGTTCACTTTGGGCCCACACGCTGGCTCTATACTTTATTGACATCAAGTTGTATCGATAAAAACGTGAGTTCTCACATTAGGGAGTTGCGGACTCTTCCAGATCGGATCCGAGTTCACAAAAATGTGGATCCGCAGCTCTCGATCTCATATTAAGACATTCTCTCTTCAGTCACGAACTTATATCATCTGTTTTTTTTTATTATTTTTAAATCTACTTACTTCACTGATTGATGAATATGAAAGATCAATTGCTCACGTGGTGGTGCCCATTGACTAGTACCACGACGTAATATCTTTACAATGAAAATTAGTTTATTTTTCAATAAGCAAAATCAAGATTTATCTACTTACTCTTTGACTATTTTCAGTAGGAGTATATTCTTCGCTTTGATTAAATCCCTTATTATCTTGAATTGGTGGTAACTTGAAAAAGAAAAATATTCGAAATAATAAAGTACGGAGTCGACAATGGTTAAAATTGACTTCCTCCAAAAATTTAATTTCTTCTATGTCAAACAATCACACAAGATGTTCCAAAGTAAGTCCTAATAGAATTTTTTTGATCCAACCCTGAGGAGGACCAGGGATGAATTTGTCGACGAAAATAAAAGTTTGTAAAAATATTTGAAATAAAGGTAGATTCATTCAAATTTTGAATACTGATTCAGAATATCGTACTAGTCTACATCGCACATATCAAATATGACTACCGTGCGTTATGCGTACCACGTGTGGCATCGATTCGTCACACGTATCAAGTATGATATTTTTCTTTTTTCTTATTTGAAGCAATAAATAACAGAAAGCGTACTTAGAAAACTATTAATATATTTTCTTAAATAAATTCGTACAGCTTGTTATTGGATTTTAGATATTTTCTATGAGCAAACATCGTATCGATCAATATGAATTCAGACTTAATTATTATTTGAAATTTTTTTGTTTTTAGATTAAATAATTTCTATTTTGTTTTATTTTTAAAATTTTTTCATATGTTCTTATGTTTGTTTTTGTTGTTACATTTTTTAAATTATAAAGAAAAAAAAATTCTAACAGAAATAAATTATTTCTCTATAGTTCATTAGAAAATCAGGTAAAATTAGCACGTAAATCTACAATCAAAATCATGTCATATTCGATACGTGTACATCACTCTTAAAATCTTACTTCGTACGTGCGACGTCGTACTTTGTACGCATGACGATACCTCTATGGTCGTCATGCATACGACGACACACCTCTGGACGTGGGATAATTTCACATAGAAAAAATTTCTTGAGGGAATCAATTTTAATAGCTATATGACACTCCCTTCTTTTCCTATTATTCTAATATTTACCTCCTCTAGAGTTTCTTCCTCATGAGGAATCATCCAAAATAAATCTGAAGCTTTTGGTATTTTATAATTTTTCCATGTATTCATGATAGCCAATGCTAAATTAATAATAAATATTTATTAAATAAAAAAAAAAATTCTTTCAAAAACCAAAAAAAAATACCTATTGCTTCTGCTGATAAATCATACGAACTAAATAAATAAAAAATAAATAAAAAATAAATTTCAAATGAATTATTTTTATACTTTAATTTTGAATATTCATCAGACAAATTAAACTTATTCAATGTAATAATATTTTCTTCGAATGAATCAAAATATTTCTTA